ACACACACACACACACACACACACACACACACACACATCCCCAGAATAGCAATCCAGTGTTCAAAGTACTCAGTGGATCCACACTCCCTCAATCTGGTAGTTTAGAGCCCCCACAGTTGACTTTACTTTACTCTGTCCATCCTTAGGACACAACTAGTTTCTTCAAATGGCATTTCCTGAAAGTGCAGAAAAGACCATTTCCTCCATAAACAAAGAGCACAATCTTCATATATGTGTGTATGTATATGTGCATATATATATAATGTATGCATGCATGCATGTGTATGTCATACATAAAGAACATATGACCAAATGTGAGTTACTCAAGGGCACATATGTGGAGGCATAAGTCTCCAAATTTCTGGCTTCTGGCATTATATTATGGCTAGGTAGTCCCTGCTGGGCATTGCTTCTTACTACCAGCTTCTGGGATTCTTTCTATGTCACTCACCAGCCTTCTCAGTCATAGTAATTCACCATGTCCACTGGCAGTGAGAACAGCCATGATGATGATCTCTCAGGTCTTTTGAAGTATTTTGAGTTTGACATTCCTTTGCAAAAGGAGGCAGGGAGGTAGGTAGAGAGCCAGCTTTGGAAGGCAGAAGCCCTAGGTTCAAATTTGACTTCTGATACATACCGGCTGTGTAACCATGGGCAAGTCACTTACCCTCTCACTATCCAAACCAACTTTCTAAGATTGTAAGTTGCAGGTGTAAATTGGGTTGGGGAGTTCTGATACTAGCAGTGACAAGCTCAAATACAAACAGATTTCCTGCTGGCCCCATACTGACTTAAAAGGCCACAAATTAACAGGATCTATGTTGCATCACATTTTTATTCATTTTGTTAAATATTTCCCAATTGTATTTTAATCTAGTTCAGTTTGCACTGGAGAGTGGCTGTGAATTTGAGACATCTCCTCACAGCTATCCCATATCGCTGAAATTACAGGTCCAGTTCACAAAAATCACTTGCAAATAAAGTCCCTCCCATACTATGATCAAGACCCTCACCAAACCCAATGACCACAGGCCGGTAATTCACCCTCCATGCTTACCCCTTGAGTTGCTTGGGCTCACAATAGTTGAAGTGACCTGCATGTGGTCACACAAGCTAGGCATCCCAGAGACAGGATCTGAACCCAGATCTTTCTGATGGCAAATCCAGCACGCTGGCAACACCTTATGCCACATGGCTACTGAACTATTACATTACTATTTACCAAACCTGTGGTTTCACCTGTATGGGGGCTCCTGGTGAAGAAATTCCACTTCCAAAGGCTGTTGGCACCTTCTCAGCAAGTATTCAAGAGTTCCCACAGCGGCTGAGTGACTTGTCTAAGTCACATCGTTGGTGTGACAGGCAGGGCCTTCTGACTCCATGGCCAGCCCTCTATCCATTGTTCTAGGCTGCCCCTTGACTTTCAGTACTTACCATCAAATCTTCAAATGAGATAATGGCTACCAAAAGCTTTATAAACCTTAAAGGGCTACATCAACGTCTGCTGTTGTTTACCACCAACCACAGCGAGCTGTTGTGGGGAAAAGCTCTGCATGCAGAGCTTAAAGTCAGACATTGTTGTTCAGTTGTGTCTGACACTTTGTGACCCCATAAAGGGTTTTCTTGGCAAAGATACTGGAGTGGTTTGCCATTTCCTTCTCCAGTGGATTAAGGCAAACAAGAGGTTAGGTGATTTACCCAAGGTCACACAGCTATTGAGTGTCTGAGGCCAGATTTGAAATCAGGACTTCCTGGCTCTAAGCCCAGCACTCTAATGCGCTCAGCCATCTAGTTGCCTCCAAGGCAAACAGAAGACAAGTGACTTGTCCAGGGTCACACAGCTAGTAAATGTCCAAGGCTGGATTTGAAATCAGGACTCCCAGACTCCAGGCTCTATCCACTGAGCCATCTAGCAAGCCAGACATACACAAGAGCTATTACTTCTCTCTCCCTATCCCTTGTGACCAGTGGCAGGCAGGACTAGGAGTCAGCTCACTATGGGTAAGCATGTAGCTTGTGACCTCAGAAAAGAACAAAGCCAAGTGTCCTGCATATAAGAATGTATGCAAATGAGATGGAGAATGAAAGCTCTTTCTGAACAGGGACAATTTTGTTCCAGCACTTTGTAGCACTTCCTGATATATAAGTCACTCATGAGTTGGCTATCCTAGATTTAGAGAAAGGACCTAGAGAGCAGGAGTACAACCCCTTCATTTTACAGATGAGGAAACTGAGGCTGACCAAGTTTGTGGTAGGCCCAGAGTCCCACAGCTGAGAAGTGTCTAAGGCTGGATTTGGAACTCATATTCTCCAGATGCCCACCACTCCCAACATGCCCAAGGCTCTGTCCACTGCACAACCCAGCTGATTCTCCAACTGGATCAAATGAAAATGAGCTGAATCAAATGGAATGAACAGAATGGAATATACACCAATCCCTGAGCAGCACAGCTGGTGGTAAACACTCTTGGAACCCTTCCCATTCCCACCTGAGCTGCAGAATGGCTCTTTGGTTAGATTTTAGATAGAGACTCTATATGTGTGAGTTTATGTGTTTGTGTGTATACATATATACTCATGAGTGTATGTATGCATAAATATGTGCATATACATATATACACATGCATGTACGTATATGTATAAATGTTTGTGTATACCCTTATACATGTATACATCTATGTGTGTATATATGCATAAAAATATGTGTGTGTGTATATATTTATGTGCACCTATTTATTAATCCTCCTTTCTCCAGAGAACTCACAGCTATGGCAAACTCAAAGTTACAACACATTCCTAGATTCCATGCATTTGGTGGACTCAGAGAGGCTAATGATTAGACATCTCACAGTTAGATAAGGCAAGACGTCTAAACATGAGCTCAAAGTCCTTCCCTCCCATTGGTCACTTCTGGAAACGAAGTTCCACGGTGGTCTTTGAAACAAGGCACATTCCCCTCCTCTAAACTGAAGCACAAATTCAAAGAGGTTCCCTGCCATATGCTTCGGGGAAATGTTTCTGGTACACCTGGCTGGGTGACCCTAGTGAGAATGCTTGGTTACTGGAAGCTCCATCTGGCCTGGGAGCGCTCCATCTGTCTCCTGGAGCAACGCCTCCAACACACACCAGGTCTTCCTTGGTCATGTGCTGAGGCAAGAAGGATAAAGAGCATTTAGGGATCAATTCCAGTGTAATGAATGCCAAGTTCATGACTAGGATGCCATTCCAAAGGAAGAAAGCAACAAAATCTCCTCAAAGCCTGACTTGGTTTGACAAGTCCAAAGAATATGCAGAAATCACATTGTTTGTTATCAGGAATGGAACAGGTTTTCCTAAACATTTAAAAGAGAGATTAGTAGCACAGGTGAATTCCTTAGCAGCCACTTACTGGGGGCATATCCCTTTCATTCACTCTAGCACCAATGTGTGAGAGGAGCGTGTCTGTATGTAACGTGACCATCCCCAGCCCCTTCCCCATTGCCTAAAAAAATACAGAATTGGAAATGTGAGAAAATGTGATTTTGTTTTGGGATGGGGAGACAGGGAGAGAAATGTAATTTGCTCGTTAATTAAGGCTCCATTCAGACACTACAATATATTTTATTTCTGGTGGCTGCTTGAAAGGTTCTGGTAATCTTGAAGATCAAATTATAAAGTGTGAAGACCCCCCAACTCCCCAAGAGCAAGCAGGGGAATAGTCCCTTGCTATAATGAACCTGAGCAATCTCTTTCTGTTGCCATGCTTCCTAAAGATGACAGACACATACACATCTTCCATAAGTGGCTGATGCCCTCCCTCTAAATTCTGAACAGAAACCAAACCAAAAAGAGCATCCGGATGCCCGTCACGCCCTTCAACTACTGCAAAACCCTTCAAATAGTGACATATTTTTATACAGGCCGAACCTGGGTGCTCTAATATAAACCATGCCAGGAACATTAATCTTCTAATGAACTAGGTGCATATAATGGACAAAAAAAAAATTTCGATGAAACCAATTCTGGATTCAGGCTTTCCAAGAATTAGCATAAACATTATAGGGAATAGGGAAAAGGGGACAAATCCCCTAATTTTCTCTTCTTTTTTTAATGTCCAGTTTCTTTTCCTCTAGGTGCCTTTAAATTAAGGCATTTTTTTTTCCATGGGAATCCCTCAATCACTGGCATCCTGGGGCCCTGTGAACCAAGGGGAGAAGGAGAGGACAACTTGGCTTTGCTATCCAGCCCAAGCTGCCCAGATAAGAGAGTAAAGATGGGTGTAGCAGATATGTGAGTGTGCAGATCTGGAGGGTAGGAGGTGGGGAGGAGGGCACCAAGGATAAGAGGTCACCAGTACCTTGGTGGAATGGCTCATCCAGAGCTTGAAAATGCTGAGGGCAAGACCCTGGAGGAAGGCACCTCTACCAGGTTTGCTCATCTTGGATTCTAAAAGGATCTGAATTTGGACAGCTTCTAGTATGAGGTTCCGTGCCACAGTGAGGTGAAGATAAATGTCACCGGGCTGTCAGGTCAGCATCCCATCTCTGGGGAAAGGGAAAGCGTTACAATTCACACAGAGTAAGGAAATACCCAAGTTACAGGAATGACTGTTCTGAAGAAGCTCCCTTTCCTGCAGCCTCCTGCAGATGACCCTGGGGCAGGGGACCTCTTTCAGAAAGACTCACTGCAAGGTATTTAAATGGGTAATTGGAAAGGTGCGTGTAGTATAACCTAACCTGGTGGGGCAGCTTGCTTGGAATTCGCTCAGTGACTCCCCTGACCAAGAGTCCCCTGGCAGACCTAGTCATCGATTCTCAGTGGGTTACAATTTTCCTTCCTTAATTAATTTCTCATTCAGCTGGCAGAGCTGGGTCAGGAAACCATCATTGGGGCCAATCTCCCGGTTCTGCCTCACGAGGCTCAGTGCGGTCCGGACATCCATCTTTTGGCGAAGCATGAGGTATGCGATGACCAGAGTAGGAGAACGGCTATAACCTTCTCGGCAGTGGACAAGCACCTTGGCTGTGATGAAGACCGAAAAGAAAGAAAATCACAACAGCACTGGACCAAAGTCAGTAATGGAATATTAGTACACCATAAGAAATGACAAAAGGGATAGAATGCAGAGAAAATCTGTAGGAACTGTGCAAAGTGACCTGAGGAGAACCAGGAGTACAATTTATCTAGTGAATATTAGCATGGTAAATGACTTAGGAACTCTGATTGATGCAATGGTCAATCACAATTCCAAAGGCTGACAATGAGGAAGGCTTTCCACCTCTTGGCAGAGGGGCGAGGGACCACAGGTCCAGAGTAAGGCATACATTTTCAGTCAAGATCAATACGATATAGGGGCAGCTAGGTGGCGCAGTGAATAGAGCACCAGCCCTGGAGTCTGGAGGACCTGAGTTCAAATCCAACCTCAGATACTTGACACTTACTAGCTGTGTGACCCCAGGCAAGTCACTCAACCCCATTGCCTTGCCAAAAAAAAAAATCAATACAATATAAATTTGTTTTGTTTGACTACACTTATTTGTTACAAGGGAGATCTTTTCTTGGGGGAGGGAAGAGTGGTAGAGAATTGTTGGGGGGAGGGGAGAATGATAACAATGCAAAAAAAACCAAAAAGACAGAAAACCATCAATGAAACATGTGAAAAATATACAGAAGAGAGCTGAAGGAAGTTTGGAAAGGGATCATAGATAAACAAAGTAGTATTGGAACCACTATGTTAAATTAATTAACATAATTTAAAAAACCAAATTGTACATGGCAGGCTCATGGTTTCATAAACAATCCTCCTTTTCTGTCTTCCTTTGTATATGAAAA